AAGAAGTGTGTTTTGAAAAAATGAATGCTTGTGGACTGTTTGTAGTTGATGCAGCGTTAATTCTACATTTTACTAGTCTTCTTACTACTTATATCATTGTTGTATTTCAATTTGAATTCTTGTAATCGTCATTGTCATTGAACTTAAAGTTGTTTGTAGCGAAGGCTAGCCCTTCGATTATCATCTAAGATTAATTTATTGATTAAAATTTGAGTGTGTATCATACCTGAGTTTTTTATTGAGAAGCCTAATGATATAAGTTATTTGAGATGCTGGAACATTTGCGTTTATCCGCGGTGATCCTGCGACAGACGGCCAAATAAAAGAATGAAACTGTGATAAATTGATCTATTCACATAACATCACGCCTTTTATCCCCGACGGTGTAGGTAGAGGTAGTATACATTACGGCACTTAATGCCTCTGTTCAATGTAACGTTCACTTCTCACTATTTATGTTATGAGACCCATGTAATAGGGGGTGACCCTATTTCCATATCATCATCATCATCATCATCAACAGCCTATAAATGCTCACTGCTGAGCAAAGCCTCTTCTCACACGGAGACGGTTTGAGCTTTAATCACCACGCTTGCTCAATGCGGGTTGGCGATTACAAACTTACCTCTATATTTAGAAATTATAAGCCCAGGTTTCCTCAGAACATTTACTTTCACCATTTCTCAGTTGTGTCTAAATAATCTTAGAAAGTACATATAACTCGGAAAAAGTCACATTGGTACTTGCCGTTGGTAGGTTTCGAACCCGCACCCTCATGCATGAGAAGCGGGCGTCTTAAACCTCCGGGCCACCACGACATGCCATATACCGGGCACAATTTCAGACTCCGTGGTACTACTGAGATTTTTTTTAACACTCTGTAATACTTTACCCGACTCGGAAATTGAACCAGTGACCCCCCTTACTATTGTATTAGTATTGGTCGCATTTGCGACCACTCGGCCAACGAAGCAGACGTGATCAGTTCAGTAATTAGAGTTTCCTAATATTTGTTTAAATTGGAGTCTGGAATTATACCCGACGTTGTAAAGGGCAATAGACTCATATTCCATTATTTGGGACTCATAGCATATCTGGTGAAAAATGGTGTACATTATATAATTATGTGTCAAATTAATGTGTCTTTATGCATATCTGCCTACATCTTCGGGGGTAAAATTCGAAGCGCTTCCCATGAAGTTTCCTTGAATGTAATACTAAGGAGTGGAATTCTTTGCCAGAGTCTGTGTTTCCTAATGAGTGTAAACTGGGTGTCTTCAAGGTCCGAGTGAATAGGTTGCTTATGGACAGACGTGTTCCATCGTAGGCCGCATCATCACTTACCATCAGGTGAGGCAGTGGCCAAACGTCGACCCATCAAATATAAAAAAATTTTAGTAAAAGAAAATCGTTACAGATAAAATAGTATACCAAATTTTCTTTGAAATAAAATTCCTTATCATCTTTGTATTGATTCTGACCAACCAGCTTATGACATAAAAGAACCATTACAGTATTGTAATAACGTTCAAAATGTAACGCCGATAGACAAAGACATTAGACATAAACCGACATAATCGATTGTTTGTTTAACTTTCGACCTTGTAGCAATGGGTCTATCAAACAGTTCTGAAAAGTTCCAAAATTCTAAGAACTGTTTAAAACCAAACAATGATGTTGAAATCAATATTGATGAAACAGTTTCATTTAATGAAATAGAACTTTGTCGCCCCCGAAACCCCCCTTAAACTGTCAAACACCGCGAGGACACCAGTGACCGCAACCTATTGTTCTTTAATTGTGTCTATAATGACGGTACTCAACGAGTTAATACAAATTTTCTAGAAAATCGATGGAACTTTCTCTTATCGTCGCCGATGACGAATTTAAAGAATGTTCCTAATTTACAATTATTGTTGATTAGTCAAATTTTCTCCTTTTCTACAATAATAGCAATAGGTCAATGTTTATTATAGATACGGTTATGAACTGTAACATAGTAAAATCTATTTGAAGCAGACATTATTGTAAAATTATTGGTCACCCATGTATCGATATTTTTTTATACCTAAAAGATTTGAACTTAGCTTAAAGAATAATTTTCAGCATATTTTCCAAAATATTACATTACTTTTGTAAATATTATATTACTTTGTGTATGGTGTTTAATAATAATTAACTCCTCATACTATTTCCTTTCCATCTATCAGCACACTTTGTGAATAATAATAAAACAACAAAAATCCCATACAATTCATTCATTTTTAGTCATCGTGATAGTACCTAAGATAACTATAAAAGACTTTTCTTTAAAAAAGATATCATAGGTACTATTTATGATATATTTTGTTTCGTATTTTTTAAAGGACGGCCATAAATTGTACTAAAAGACATTTTAAGGTAATCCATTAACTGCCGAACTCCCTGTGTATACACGCTGACATATTAATGGTTGTTTTCCCGCAGCAGAACGATTTCCCTTTAGTAGTACTATCGAATAATGCAAGTTACTTTTTGAAAAAATAATTTTTTTTCTCCTCATATACTCAAAAAAATAATCATCAACTCGAAAGCATGAGAAACGATAGTTTCTCTTCTAAAATGTGACGTCAAATCAATGTTCATAGTAAAATAATCTCTCGGACTAAGTAATACAGCATAAACTGCAATGCACGCGCGCGCGAGCGGATCGCCTCACGACAAACAACAAAGGCAACCACCGCGCTCTCTGTCACTCGCATCGGCCCGCATCGCCTCGCATCGCTTTCATTCACACCAGTCGCACTGCGAACGCCGTCCGCGCAACCACGCAAGCGCAGTACAATATTATTGCCGCCAAAATGGATCGCCATTACGTTTTTTCTAATGTGGAGTACGTAGCTATGGTGCAATTGTACGCGAGGGCGAATTATGATTTTTGGGCTTTTAATAACCCACACGTTATTCGAGAATGTGCGCATCAAGTGCGGTTTAGTGTAAACGTGTGGGCCGGTATAATAAACGGCTGCTTAATTGGTCCGCATTTTGTGACAGGACACTTAACCGGTGAAACGTACCTACAAATGCTACGTAGTGTTATCCCGGACTTACTAGATGACATTCCGTTAGCAGTGCCCATGGATGGCCTGTATCACCAGCACGATGATTGCCCTGCGCATTATCAGCGCGCCGTGCGAGAGCACCTCGACTCGGTGTTTCCCCAGCGCTGGATCGGTCGTGGCGGGCCAGTGCCATGGCCACCACGAAGCCCGGATCTTACTCCACTAGACTTTTATTTGTGGTCTAATCTCAAATGCCTTGTGTATCGTCAAGAGTACGAAACTCGCGACGCGTTAAAAAGTGCGATAGTGGACGCTTTTGATGTGATTAGACGTGACAGAGACACATTATTAAAATTGAAAGCCAATCAGTTAAAACGTGCACGATTGTGAGTGAAACGCGGTGGCTTACACTTCGAACAATTGCTCCGTTACCGGGAAGTGTAAGTACTTGTACATTTGTAAATAAAACAATAAGTTATGTGATTAAAATCATTGTAAATACGTTGATTCCCATTTCTTAAATACGCCTTAAATACTTTGCCAAATTCAGTAATAAACAAGATAATATCTCTTGATTAAATTTTGTTTTATGTTTGTGTTTAGTAAGTGTAGTTAAAAAGTATTTACGACGGTCCTAAGCCCGTTAAAGTATGAAGGGAAAATGGAAATCACTTGTTAGTAAATACTGAGTTATCAGCCTTTTGTTAAGCGTGAGCGACAATGACAGCGGCCGGTGGCCGGTCGCGGCGGTACTATTGGTTCGCGGTTTCTTTCAAGTTTTGTGTATCACTATCGTAAAACTGCTATTTTTTTATTTAAATTAAAAACAACTTTCTCAATCTATTGTACTACTAAAATAGAATCATTTTACTGTGGGAAAACAACCATTAAAATATCACGGTGTATAGAAGAATTGCTCGTTTAGAGATTGGCTAAAAGGATCGTCGATAAAGACTTACAACAACTTGTCTTTAGCCTATTGAGCGCTATGTTATTTGTTTTCTTTAACACTAAATATTCTATTTACACTAATAATTGTATCCAGCGACTATACACACATATATATGCCTGTCTCCCATGGGGGTAGGCAGAGACTTTGAAACACCAATTGCTACGATTCCTACACACCTCTTTCGCTTCATCAACAGTCATCAATCTTGTCATACAGGCTCGTCGGGAAGGGTACTTTATACACTTTAATTGATTAGAATATTGCATTTACCATCTGGATAGCGATCAGTGACAGTTTTGGGTTAATAGACTCTTTCGACTTTTTAAGTCTAAGTTTTTCCAAAAGCTCACATTTCCAAAAGCTGTTAGCTATTTCTATTAACCAAGTTTGTTAACTTATTTATTATCGTATTTTCGCACGTTGTTTGTACCTGTTCCATATCCTTGCAAAAATATGACAATACTTTGATGCTTTTCAAAATTCAATGTCTTTCGAGTTCTTCGAATTGATCGTGGTCTCACTAGAGATTTAGAAATGTAACTGGGTTATTGTCATCGTTTTGAACATTATCGTCCTTGTGGTTTCAGTTGAAATTCTTGTATGTTTCTCGACTTTATAAATCTTATACTTTATTTATTTTTTATTTATTATAACAATATAAAACTAAAGAGTTTGTTTGTTTGTTCGAACACGCTAATCTCCAGTACTAGTTTGAATTGAATAATTGGATAGCAGGTGAAACCACGCGGATGTTGTTTATACGAATTGTATTGGCCAGGGCTTCGCAGGAAAAGACTCAAAGAAATACTCAGCAGGTAGAATTTTAATGAGGTGTTAACTCAACGAGTACAGCACAGCAAGTGAAGAAATTAGCGTCGGTACATACAAAATAAATACAAATAAATATACTAGTTACTTAATTGCTAACATTATACTAAGCACACGTCGTTGCTATGGTATATCCAGCAGGCGCTCGTACATTCCCCCGGGTTTTGAAAGCGTCGGTTTCAACAAGATTCATCCGAAGACACGGGCAGTGGGCAGATCCTGTTGAACGCCCTCCGAATGACTCCCGTAGACGTCTGGATGTCAGCTACCCGAACAATGCCGTCTGTTCCTGGGTGAACAGCCACAACTCGTCCAAGTCTCCACTTCAAAGGAGGAAGATTGTCCTCCCTAATCACCACCAAGGTGTTCAGCCTTAGAGCATCTTTAGAGGAGTGCCATTTGGTTCGCACCTGCAATTCGGCTACATACTCCTTGCTCCATCTGCTCCAGAAATGCTGGCGTAGTTGCTCTATTCTTTGAAATCGAGACAGATGGTTCATAGAATGATCCCGGTAGTCAGGCTGCGGTAGAGAAGTCAAGGGTCTCCCAACAAGAAAATGACCCGGCGTCAGTGGAGTATAATCCACAGGATCTGATGATAATGGCGTTAATGGACGAGAGTTCAAAACCGCTTCAATTTTAGTGAGTGCAGTGTAAAGCTCTTCGAATGTCAAATTACAATTGCCCAACACTCTTTGCAAATGATATTTTGTTGACTTCACTCCTGCCTCCCAGAGTCCGCCGAAATGTGGAGTGTATGCGGGTATAAAATGGAACTTTATTCCATCATTCGCTGCACTTTCACCCAAGGACGAGCTATTAGCTTTTAAGAACTTAGATAAGTCGTTGTACGCACCAACAAATGAGGTACCATTGTCAGAAAATATATTACTTGGTTTACCTCTTCTAGAAATAAATCGATGCAAAGCTAGTAAGTAACTATTGCTAGATAAATCACCAACAAGCTCCAAGTGAATCGCCTTGGTTGTAAAACAAATAAAAATTGCGATATACACCTTTACTAGCCTGCATCCACGGCCTTGACGACTGGCACACATGATAGGCCCGGCGTAATCAACACCAGTGCTCTCAAAGGGATAACCTGGACGAAGGCGTTCTGAAGGTAAGTTACCCATTATGGGAGTGACGACTGTACCCTTCAATCGTCGATACAGAACGCAATTATGATAGCATAATCTTGCCAAGTTGCGACCTCCTATTGGCCAGTAAGATTCTCTAATGGAAGCCAGTAATAACTGTGGACCAGCATGCAATAGCCTCCTATGCTCGAAATTAAATAATAATTTGGTAAAAGTATGAGTGGACTGTAATACGATGGGGTGCCTTTTATTAAAATTAAAACTAGAATTATCGAGACGTCCTCCTACTCGAATGATATTTTTATCGTCTAAATATGTTTAACTTGAGAAGGGCGCTCTTCTTAGGTATTTTCTGTTTATTTAAAAGTCGTTGATATTCAGGAAATGATTCACGCTGACTTTGTGTGACCACAATATTGAGTGCATCTTGCAACTCATCCTGAGACTAGTAACTTGTCGCTGCATATTGTTTCCTACATGACTTAATGAATCTTAGTACATAAGCTACAGAACGTAAAACTCGTGAATAATTAGAAAATCGACTAAAATCTATAAAACATGCCTCAGTTTTAGGGTCGTCAACAAGAGCACTTAAGCTATGTTAGGTCGAGTCTCTGGTAACGTCTGGTAACACGAAGTTTGGTCGTAGTACTCGATTCACGCGATACTCCATGATGTGGGATAAAATAACCAGGACACAGATTAGATTTATTTATTTTAGTCATATGACCAAGCGACTCATATTCTGACATGAAATCACGATACATATTACCGAAACCAGGCTCAACTTTTAATTTACGCTCTAATGACTGTAGACAGTGTGTAGCTTTATTTAAGGAATCACCTAGAACCGACGGGTTGTTCTTAAGGGGTATGCGAACACAAAATCGACCATCAGACAATCGTGTCGTATTTTTGACAAAATGTTCCTCGCACGATTTCTCTTCTGGCATGAAAGAACTCAAAGAT